AATTCGGTTTCAGAGCTAGAAACGCACCCTTTCCTTCTCAATGCTTCCCAGAAATTCAGTGAAAGCGTCATATATTTGGCTATCTCGAGGAACTTGTCCCTAAAGCAAGTCCATGCAGTTGGTCCCCTCGTGTAAGCCGACCTTTGGCGAAAAAGCGCATGGCTTTGGAAGTAGGGTTAGAAGAAAAAGCTGGCTAATGAATTCAATATTTAAGGCATTTTGCTATACACCTGCGGTTTTATTTTGCCAGAGAATGATATACACCACTCTAATTGTTTGTTATATTCATCCTGCAGTGCTATGCTTATTATTCTAGATATGGATATCCTTGTGACTTTACATGATCATGACTCTGAAATGGAGTTGAAATTTAGTATTTTGAAATTAAATACAATAATCGACTGTTTTTCAAATTTGGTTAAAGCACTTTTGATCTAAGACAGTTACTTTTCGGAAATTTCTCGGCTTGTAGCTATGCGATTCTGCCCAACACCAGAATATATTTCCCCTCGACTAGCCACCAATATAATGCCACAACGGTGTCAAGTTTTAATTTGCTTAGCTCTTCCAAAGTTGAGGAGGACGATAAAAAAAGGCTTAAAACGCTCATATTACAGCACAAACACAAACAGTGAGGAGGGGAGTGGAACTTGATGAGTGTGTCAGGTCTGGAGAGAAAAAGATAAAACTTGCGATACATGGCACATCTTAAACTGACCTCTGAAGACTGGGGATAATTGTACATATTTTTGGTCAGCTGGTACATCGTCTAATTCTTACCTTGTTATCATCCGTTCCTATTCGTTGATTTTTGTTTACTTTATATTTTTCTAAAAGCGTTTCGAGGGGGGAAAACACTTTGTGTGGATAGTGGGATATGTCCTTAGGGAACGTACCCTCCGGATACGAGTGGGTCAGCGGATACAAGTCTATGACATCAAAACCCGCCTGGCATATGGTGGACATGGCGTATGCGCTGAACAATTGAATACGCTGAAAAAAAAAAAAAATTAAAGAACAAGATAAGGGATCGGTCTTTACTTAGAGCTGTGTCACAATAAAGATTACCTGGCCCTGCCTTAAGGCTGTGCAAAATTTTAACTTATAACGGTCAAATTTCTATAGTCCCCCTTTAAAATCTCTAAGAGACGACTGATCTCCCTCTCTTCCCCTATGCGCGGATGAAAAATTGTGGTCCCAAATACTATACTACCAGTCAAGGGTTATCATTACAGAGAAATATGCACTAACCTGCGGTGTGAGGAATCTCTTATCTGTTGGGTTGAACTTCGTTCCCTTATGCTTGAATATAGCTGTAGTTGATTTCCAAATGACCTTCGCTTTATACTTTGTCTCTTTCAACAAGTTTATTACCATCCCGAGGACCTTTTGGAAAGTTGTAAAATTAAGGCTGTACGGATAATGAAGTCCAAGGTTTAAAAGTAATACACTGGAAGGTTGTTTTGTAGGTCTGTCGTATGAAGGACATCGCGAATAGCATTCAAGACTTTCTCAGGACGGAAGTCAAGGTCTAAATCCTTTTCAGTTTTGCCATCAATTCTTGGATAGAGCCAGTTATAACTGTTTTTGCATTTGGAGTAGAGCCTTTTACACAGGGGTCGAGAGCTGATTGCTTGATGAAAGAAAAGCCCTAATGAATCCCCATAGACCCATAAAGTTCCAGAAGAGTTGTGGTATGCTGGTAAGGACCAGTTGTATGATTCTGTAAGGAAACAGTTATTGGAAAGAAAAGTGAAAAATATGAGACAAGTTTCTTCTGCCAGATGACGTTGAAAAAACTAAATGATATATAAAATCCCTCATGTCGAGGGAGCACCGAGTCCAAAAAGAACGAAATTTCAATTCATCCGTTTGACCATAAACAGTCCCTCCTTTATGCGGAATCCTTCGCGCCACTGAAGAAAACAACAGCAATAAAAAAAAAAATGTCATCGCGCCGCACGAAACTTTGGGAGTGTCGGGCGCACGAAATCCACTCCCAGAGTTCCACGCGGCGCGCTAATATCATTTTTTTTCGCCGAATTCTTTTGGGTATTGCCTCCTATGAAGAGAGGTGCATTCTACCATTTCAATCAGCGACTTATGGCCAAAAGAGTGCTAAATTTGCGAAGCGAGAAAGATCCAAAGCGAGAAAGAAACGAAAGTCTCGCGAAAATAGAATTGCTATGAAATAAGAAAATAATTAGAGAATAGACTGTCGAGGAACAGTGAGGTTCTTGAACTAGCCCCTATAAATTATGATTATTGTTATTATTGTTATTATTGTTAATATGACTATTTGTTACCATTTAATTATTGGTTGAGTGTCAACTATTTACTATATTCTTGAATCATCTCTCTTCGGTTAAATAAGGTTCTCAAAAATATGTGGGATGCAGCAGGTTTCTGTTTTGCATATGAGAGAGATCTTCTACAACATTACCTTTTAGCATTATTATACAACCCCTAGTTTTTTTTTTTTAATATCATAAAAGTTGTGCCGTATCAGTAGCCATATGTAGTCTCAAATTTCCTGTTTTTTTTTTAACTGGCCTGACGGTCTAAACCGAAAGGAGGTACTGTTCGAAGTCTATGCGTCTTTCTAAGCCTAATTATTAGAGCTAATCACAGCCCAATGCCAGCGAATTGAATTAAATGCTTGCAAAAATCAGCATTCCAAATTTTAATTCGACCTAGAAACAATAAAAAAAAAAGAGACATCTAGTGAAATGTCCATTGCAAAATTTCCACCAGTTTTATCATGATCATTAATATTATTATTCTTAGTATTATCATTATTATTATTAATTTTTGTTAGAACGGAAATTGGCCAGGTTCCTCCTATTTGGCAAATAATAGGTGAGTTCTTACCTTGAAGGTATGGCCGCCAGGTGTCATTCTTCCATCGACCAAATCCTTCCCACAAGTTGTTGCAAGTGGAGGAGCAAGACTCTAGAGAATGAAGTCTGTCTGTAGGGAAAAAAGATTTAATAAACGATAAATTGAAATTCAGTTATCCTAGAGGTTATTGAGAGATGAACCTTAACATTCTCAGGAGTTACCAGTAATAAATCTCTTACTACAGGATTAGTACATTTCCAAGCAGAAACGTAATGAGAAGAAAGTAAAAAATCAACCGTGGGATATTGTTGAATTGAACAACTTATTTTATCCCGTTTGAAATCACTGGTGGTCCTTGCAATCTTATTGGCTCTCGTCGGTGCGATTTATTCAAGAACCGCACCATTTTTTTTCTCTAGATCCCATCTTTATCTCAGCCTATGAGTAAGCTTTACTAAAGTAAACCAAACGAGCAGATTTTATGGCTTGCTTAAATTAAAGTAACCAATCAAATTTCAGGAAAATAAAAGGCAACTTTTCATGAAACAGCTCAGCACTGGATCAATAAAATATTTTTACAGACTAAAACATCCTGCATTGGAGCTATTGAATTTTACAATTTCAAAATTGATGTAGTAAAGTTGTTATTGGACGTAGTGTAGTACAATTTTGGTTTGAAAACATGTTTGTGATTTCAAATCAAACTTACACTTATAAGAAGCGTATGGCAATCAGGAAGGATTTATGATATTTGAACGTAAGAGTGAAAGGGTTGATTAAGAAAGTACGCTCGAGTTCTTTAACGCATTATTTCCTATCGCAGTTATAGCCAAGACCAACTGTAGCCATACGATCGCTGCAGAGCGCAATTTTCAATTAAGGGTCGAGGGTAATTCGAGCTTTTCTTGGGTTTGCTTTTTATCTCGTAGTATGACGTAATCATACTTTGAGGTTTTGGCATGGAAGTAAAATTCACTCACTCACTCATTCCACTCTGTTTAATGCATTAAACGTGGATGAAACGCGTTCTCCCCTGCCTCCCCTAGAAGGTTTAGTTTTGTTCCTAAATTCTCGCTACTGATTTCTCTTCAGATCTCTAGGGAATGGGAAAAGGTGAGTAAGTTCAACATGCATAATTCGAGATGGCTTCTGTACACTAAAGTTATTATTGTGGTTTTTCCCTCCATTATCTCCATCCTTGATCGAAAAACACCTTTGTAGATCTCGAAAACGAAGAAGAAATTTGTGAAAAAACCTCAACCGAAATAAAAGGGCTTCAAACTGTCAAAATTGACGATAATGACGGTCCCATCGATCGATAAATGGACATATTTTCAACAAGGTGGAAGCGATTTAAATTATTGTCTTCAAGGTGAAAACCGCCCATCTGTTTGCCTGTCATTTAAATAAATCTCATACATATTGCGCTGCTGATTTACCGTGTTTTAAGGTTTTAAAGATTTCACTGGCTTCTAATTAGTTATTTCGCACCTGATTTCATAGCGTAAATTTTAGTCGGAATTTTGAAGCGCATTTTAATGTTTTTTTCTGTCTTGGGCACGGATTGAATTTCAGCAAAAATTTGCCTATCATTTTTTGATCATTTGCTTATTACTGTTTGGCCTTCAATCTACCTGAGTTTTAAGTAAACTTTGTCTTTAAACCTCACCTTGTGTCTGGTGTTAGAAATAGCGTATTTTTAGTACTCCAGCTAAACTTAATGCTTTTTAAGTCAAACCTAACCAGTCATTTTGGGGTACGCCATTCGCTATTGGAAAGAGATGAAAGGTTAAAGTTCTTATTAATTAAGACATACGATGAGGTAGCTCCAAGGAGCCCTTGATCTTCGCTTTGTGATCGGTCCAGAGAATTCGCGCCTTTTCTAAAAAAATTATGTAAGGCTCGAACCAATCGCGAATTGGTCACTCGCGTTTTCCCGCGCTTGAAGCTGTTTACGTATTTTTGCATTTAGCTCTCATTGGCTGCTCTTGGAATTTTCGCTGCATCCGACGGGTCGTTTTGATTAACTTAGTTTTGGTTTTTCGATAATTAGTCGAAAAGCGCTCTAAGCGACACATTCACCCCTACAAAGCGTTCGCGGTCAAAGCCTCCAGGTTACTTACCGGCTAATTTCAAGTTCATCTTTGTTCTTGCTACGTTTATCTCGAAAAGTCTTCCGCCCTGAAGGGGTTTTTTACCAAATAATCATCCAGAGGGCCTAGAAGACCTTCCTTCTGATATTTGCCTTGAGCGTCCCCTTTAATGAACCAGTCACGTGGAGGGTCCTTGAATCCATCACATAGACTATAATCCAGATAAATTGACAGCTGGTAGATACCAGGCTCCATAATAAGAAACAGAGCCTCATAAGTTCCATTGTTGTGATCAAAAACAGTGGCCGCAATGCTTGATGGGCCACGTACGTGGACTCTCCAGGTGTCTCCACCGATTACTTTTGTTCTGTTATCCGAAGTTTTTGATTGGATGAAAATCTTACTATATTCTTCAGCAGGTCTGATGTCCTGAAATATTATTTTACTTGTGAAGGCGTTGGTTCTGTTAACTTTTCCCCATCCAGCCTTCACCTTTCCCCAGGCCATATTGTCATAACACGGTTTGATTATGGCTTGCCAGTCCGAGCGCGCACGATGCTGACGTAGCCACTCACGACGGAAATCGTCGATTTCATTCGTTTCGTTCGTTTTCGCAGAATAAAAAATTGGTGGGCTATCTCTAGATGGTGTAACTTTTAACAGACTTGAAATAAAAAAAAATGACACCACAAAGCATAAAGCAAAGGTGATTCGCAGTAACGACAAACGTTTAAAAAAGCAGAAACGTTCTATTAGTCCAATCACCGCGGTCAAACCTGGTAGTTTACTTGAATAACGAATTCCAGATGAAACTGCTAAGAAGTTGAGTTCCTAGGAAAACATAAGAAACCAGTCATTAATCATTGCCAGTAGAGAGAGAGAAGGGGAGTCGGTGGATTTGGGGGGGAATCACATGGTTTTAAAGGGGAACAAAGGGGTATAGTCGTTGCCAACAGAGTATGAAGGGGGAACTAATAAAATTGACAGCCAATCACCGGTTAATGAGGAGGGATCATAAAAATACTACATAGCCTTGTAAGGGGATCAGGTCGATTTTATCGCGACACGACCAAAATTCTTCGACTCCCTTCCCTAGTGATTAGAACGACCAATTTCTTTCTAACTACCGTGAATATTTAGGTTTACTGAATATACATGATCTCTCTCTCTCTTTGAATTAGCAAAAAAAACAAACAAACAAACAAACAAACAAAAAAGCAAACAAAAACAACTAAAAGAAGAGTAAAGTTCTTCAAGTTATCTGTAATCCCAAGCACATTTGTTGGCACACATACTACCTCCTTCCGTTCTCAATATTGGTCCAATATTGGTAATTAACAACATTTGAAGGGTGAGATGGTGAAAGAACTTTGTAGACGTTGCTCTGGCGAAGTGTCCTCACTAATTTTGTCTGGGAGCGTGGCTTCAGATCACAAAGAAGATATAATATATTTCGAAAATTTCACAGCTAGCCGTAAAATTTTGAGGAATAGAGGGTTTAGGATATCATATCAAAAGTGTAACAGACATGCAAGAGTGGATGGATTGGTTCTACCCAAGTTTTTCTACACACGCCTTCAGTGAGGTGAAAATGTATCTCAGACACATATCTTTAGTGGCTTTCATAGCCCTCTCATTGTAATAAAAGCTAGGACGAGAATAATCAACGCTTATTTCTTAAGTGCGCGTTAGATATGAGGCTATGACTAATCTCTTACCTAACAAGCGTCAATGGATTGATTTTTTTTTTAAATTTTCCGCTTTTCGGTAATGCTGTGGGAGTTTTTTTTTTCGCACTCAAATTTTTGTTAAATTTAAGCGACCGGAAATTAGTGTTACTTCCGACCGCCAAAAGCATATGACACGCGCAACGCCTTACGACCGAAGCGGAATGAAAATTCATCGCTAAGCAATTTACACAGCCGGACCTGAATATCTACACGAGATACGACATATAGTAATTTCGGAACATAGAAACGTTTCAGGGAACAAGTTACAATATTAACGAGACAAGCATTCAAGTGGGTTTGAGTTCCAGCTTACCGACAAGCGAAAAATGCTGTGCGCAGTTTGTTCAAGTGTTGTTTAGCCGGTGCCGAGTACAACTTATGATACAGGCTAGCTTTCTTTTGAATATCCAGTAAAGACCTCAAAGATGAGCTTTTGTAACGCGGGTTTTGGTAGAGCGTAGAAATTTCTACGAAAATTTCCAAGTCATCCTGAAATTCTAAAGGTAACCGGCTATTCCTTCTGTTACGGCAGCCTCTTTTTTTTTTTCAAGACCATTAAATGATAATTTCAAGTGCAAAATGTTTAAGAAACTTCAAAGGTCAGTGCCATTTGATATCTGTTATATCGTACTTTGTGGCTTTTACTTTTGATTTGTTTAAAAGATGACATTGACTAGTATTTGATTCACTTTATTTACAGAACACGATAGAAAATGTTTGCTTCCTGCCAAAAGTAGGTGTCCGAACTGTCCTTACAGCCCCTCAATAGAAGAATGGCACCCAGCTGAACGACGAGGCCCTTAAGAACATTCATGTGCGAGGCAGAATCACTAATTAACAGTTAAAAGGTACGACAAGCGTCTCTACCCATTTCCGATCGCCTCAGTCTCCCTCCCGGTCAGCACCTGAAACAAAGATTTACCCCCCAGTGGGAAAAAAAAGTGATTTGCCCCAGTCGCCCCACACCCCAAAAATCTAATGTTCCGTCCCTAAAATGCCTTTTACATAATTCTAAAATGAGTTTCGTTCCGGAACGAAATGAATTTCATAACGCGTTTACATCCAAGATAATTTAGTCTGTAAAAACAATTATTTATGTCCTTTTCTGTCCTTTTCTATCCTTCCCTCGCACCTATAGAGGACTCATACGGATATAAGAGTCTCACCGCGTTTATATTATACAGGTACATAAATGAGTGTTTCGTTCTGGAATGAAAACCGTCAATAACCTCATTCAGAAATGACTCGTTTCGAATAAACTTTACTCTGGTATCATGTGGCGACCGGTATGAACTCGTTCCTGAACAAAACTCATTCCGATATCATGTAAAAGGCTCCTAAAAGTTTTTATTCTCCATCGCCAGAAACCAAGGACATTTCGAGCCCGGTATATCGTATTACGCTCCGGAACAATAGAATATCAAGAGAATTCAATATGACGGCGATCACGGCTCGATCTGCAAAGAAGAGTGTTTCGTACCATGACTTATAAAATTTGAGCACTGCAGATCTTCTATTTGATGAAAAGAAAAAGAAAAGAAGGCCTGCAAGTAAATCTTTGGGATTTTTCGAGGCAGAGCGATGACACGATGTCAGAATTTTGATTTGCTTTAATTTAATTTTCGCGCTAAGACTACTGAATTTGCATTTAATGCCTGGCATATTTTTATTCCGAAAAGGACCGGGAACTAATTTATTTCCCTGCGAGAACATAAACAAATATGGCCGACGATTCGAAGATCAGCGTTGCTCGTGTTTAACTATCTCAGTCATAGTTTTCAACATGGCGTCCCGTCACTTACTCAACATGGAAAATAAGGGATAGTCTGGCGCGTTGAGAACTTTTTTGATGGAAGGAAATGGCAATTTTATAGGATATTTGGACGCTTCGAACTCTGTAGCAGTCAATTCGATCGAGAGCAGTTGACTTTATTGATGCACTTTCCTGTAATAGGCGAGTGTTTGGGATGGAGAACGACGGATTTTGAAGAACTGTATGGCGACCAAGGTCAATGATCAATGACAAAAGAACTGGCTCGGGAAGTAAGTGGTTTTTATTTATCGAGTCCCTGTGAGGTTTGATGAATAGCAGAATCAGTACTGAATATGTCTCGATCGAGAGCAGACGGGACCATGAGCTCCTGATTGTTATATTTTAGAAATTTTACTAATTTCCATACAGTTTCTTATATTGTTTGGACGCCATTATAGACGAAATGCGCAAGCGCGGCCGCCATCTTAATCGAAACAGCTAATAAAATCATAAATAAACAAAATAAGAATGTTTCGTTAGATTTTTTTTTACAAATTGTAGTGATTTATGCCAGTAAACAGTGGCGACAAGTAGGCACACCATGCATATTTCATAGTCGCTAGAAAGTAAATTTTGCCGGACTTTGAGTTCGTCTCAAAATAGAACAACACAAATACAAAAGGAAATTTTTACGGTAACTTTTCAACCATCCTTTTGTCTTTTAAAAGCTCGAAGCTTAGTAGATTTTGTCATATCGGTCATTGATAAAACTTTCTTTGTTTTGATATTACTTTTCGACATAGAAAAAGTATGTCGGACAAAAATGTTTACCAAAAATAAAAATTTCTTTGCCAACTCCAGTAATGACAGGGGATTACGTTCAGATGATAAAACAACGGATTATTTGATAGAAATACCGGAGGTTTAAACGTGAGGTATTCAGCCACAATTGAATTAATCGATGGAACTTTTATTCATTTAATATCTGAATTATCTCAAAAAATTTTTTTAGTAGTGAAAGGGCGAGCGAAGTTTTCAGTTCTACTACAAATACGCTTTTGGTGAGTCTTTCCGAGTCCGTTTAATTTGGACATCTGTAAATCGCATAACAGAAACTGAAGGAATTCACGAGGAAAGTCGTATTAAAGCCCCTTGTGTATAGTTGAAGTGTCTCATTCAAATTTAGTTTTTGTGGAGGAAAGACCAGATTTACACTTGCCATTGCAGCAGACAAACGAGCAAGCTCTCACAACTTCAGAATGAAAAGTTTTAATTTACTTGCAATTAATTTTCTTGCCATTTACTTACTGAGCAGAGGTAAATCTTCGTACATTAATCAACCGTCGATGAGAGAGAATAATAATTTCCGCAAGATCATTTACTGATTTTCAAGAAAAGATTGTCGTAACAGTCCTTACCACGACTAGTTCCGTTGTTTTCTCAAAAGTGCACATGTGCTTTTTTCCGTGGGTGGGCTCAAGTGTCAGACACAGTGTTCCAAAGTTTGTTGGAAGCCTTTTAAATCACCTTTATTATTGCGCAAATGAAAACGTTACGGTAAAGCCTCTCTCTTTTAATTTGATTTGGCTCTATTTTAAGTACCATTTACTCGCTCAAAAATTGTCCAGTTTATGGAAGATCTTCCTGTAATTACAGCCCTAAACCATTTGGCTTCTTTTGGAAAGAATTCCGTTGAGTTTAAGAAAAAATAAATAAAGAACAATTTAATTCACCAGCCCAGGCCGGTCCTTATTGGGAAAAATTGTGGCCTCTGTCTTGAGTTGACGCACGAGCGATCAACCGTTGAAAAGTAGATTCTAAGATGAGCGCCAAATGTGGATCTTTTGGGAATTGTCACTGGCTAGAAAAGATAATCTGCGGGCTTGCCCGATTGCAATTTCAAGAGAAGCGTACAAATTCGTTCTGACTTCTTTGACCGGTTCCTGCTTTTGGACGATGCATAGCTTGGATCCACGTTCTGACGATGATGTAAATAGTAATGTGAGCTCCCTTTATGTAGAAAT